ATAGTATACTAGAAGATGTTAATAGAGCCTGTAGGAGATGACAAGGCTGAGCCCAAGAGAGAGGTCAAGCACTTCGTCATTCTTGAGATCCTTTGCACCCACAAGAGATCTAAATGCAGCCCATTTTGAATTGATTCTTAGCTACATCCAATTTGCTTTGACTGCTGCTAGTTTATTATTTTGACTGCTACTAGATTATTGTAGAGAGTGCTAGCATGCAATAAACTTGTATTCATTTGAACTGCCTTGCTTCATGATTGCTTGCACCTAACAAAGTCCACATGAAAATTCCTACAACCACCATAACACAAACAAATGTACTGGTATATGCTACAGTTGCTATAATTCTGGTTTTGTGCTAGGTTACTCAGTCAAGAAAACTAGCTGTACATAACCTCTCTGGAAAATGAGGTTAGAGACTAAGATTAAGGTAAAGAATAAAGGAAAATATTTGTAACACAGGGTTGAAATAAGGGGTCCTTCATGGTTTCTTAGCTTGGTTTTCTGCAACCAGCGTTTCTTGCAGATGTTTCATTACCCAAACTAGGTAACATCATCAGTGTAAGTAAGGAATGGAGTTTGCTCTCAAACTCTTACTCTATGGCTTACTCTATCAGTGGCTTACTCTATCAGTGTTGGTAGGGGTAGTCTTAAGAAGTTCTTTGGTTGAGCTTTTTACTATTAGCTTATTTGGCAGCTCCTTGATTGGGGTATTGTTTACTTCTTGATTGTTAGTCTGATGTTAATCTTGGAGTTAATTGATGCTCATAAGGGTGCTGATTGCTGGTAGAAATGTATTTTGGTCTTTTTGTTCCCTTTTATGCTTGTAGATTGGCTCTTTTCTATGTAGATATTGTTTATGTCTGTGTGCCTATTAATTTATCAGAGTAACAAGTCTCTAGAAATTCCCTAGTGCTTTTGGACTTGGCTCACGGTTTCGTAGTTGAAACTGGTTAAATCTGTCCATATGTTGTGAAAATAAAGAGTTTTCATCATGTTTTCTGACTGCTAGTTGGTGTTCATGGATGTGTTCTGCCAATCTTCTGCTTTTTTGTCCTACATAGTGGCAGTTGAAGTTATTACACTCTATGTAATAGATGACCTGTTTTTTTCCTTTGGGGCTGCTGGGTCTTTTGGCTTACTTAGAATGTTTTGAAGGGCTTTAGTTGGCTTGTATGCTATGCTGATTCTATGTGGTTGTAGTGCACTGTTGGTAGTTTTTGATATTTGTTCTGACCCAGACTTTGGCAGACTTAATAAAACACAATGTCATGCCCTTGATAGAGTTGGACTCTGAGGGAGAGGATGAACAGCCAACAGGGACTGGAGGTGTGGTTCTGGAGGTTGTGGAGGAGGCTGGGGAAGGACAGAGGCCGGCTGGGCAGTCAAAGGAAGAACCAAGCCCATCCCCTCTTCATCCTAGGACACGCAGGGAGGAACGGAGAAGGAAACAACTTGGCTTACAAGAGAGGAAGCGGCCATGATCCCTCTTATTAGTTGTAGCTGGGGAGAATAGTATATAAGAGAGATGGTTACAACACAGCGTTGCCAGAAGCAAAGCGTATTTTACTTTGGGCTGAAGTTATCTTGGTTGGCGTCCTTCCAACAGACTATGCCTTGTTATCTCCTTGAATTTGATAATTACTTATCCTGGTCTGTTGTGGAAATTTTGTCATTGTAGTTTATTTGGTTTTTTATTTCACCTCTATCTGCTCATTAAGTTCGGACTGTATTGCTTTCTTTTGAAGACTATTTTTGAGTAGGTTTTAGCTCCAACTGAGAATTATTGAACAGTGGGGCCAAGTTGGAGGCATTAAAGGACATTTATTTATGTTTTGGATTTTGTTACATTTGTGTTACACTCCTGGTCATCACACACAAGCTGAATTTAAAAGTAAAACCTTTTTAAATGTGATGCTGGGAATTACTCACATTCCCAGGCAAAACTCATTATACACAGTTTTTCCAGATAAGAGCATGCTTTTCAGTGCTGTCGAATGCTGCCAAGAAACAGACATCCAGTTAAGGCTAACATAGACCCACCCAAAAACCTAGAAAAAACAGACCAGAGCTTCACGAAGGACTCAGAAATTACTGAACTGCTTTGCTTCCTGCAGAGCTCTTCATCATTGAGGACTGACTTTTATCCCTTATGAAAGGGACAATCAGCTCCCAGCCTTACTCTTCTGCTTCAGCTGCTCTCACCTTCTGCTTCAGTTGCTCTTGCCTTCTAGCAGCTCTGCGCACATGCGCACTGGGAACAGGCTCCCCGTGGTCCTCTGCTTCACTTCTGCCAGCACCCAAAGACAGCACCCCACTCTTAGATGATCCTGGCCCCATACTGCATCAGATGCAGGGCCCTCGTCCAAGTCCTCCCCAGACTCCCTGACTGGTTCCCTTTCATCCTCACTGTCTGATACCTTTGCCATCCTCACCGGCTGCCCGCAAACCACAAAAATATGTTCTTGATGTGTGACAGTGTTATCCTTTTTATATCTTATGTTGGTTGTGCTATATTGGGTTTAGTGGTCAGGCATTTTTGCAGCAACCCTGAACAGCAGAAAAAGGAAACGGAGTATCTATACAAATCTTCCAACAAAATGGATATCCACACTTTATCAAAAAAGCTTGATATTTCCAAGGAAGGGTGCGTGGCCTTATTTTGGTCTAATGGCACAACTACATCTTTAACTGGAAAACCTTGGTGCTTGTTTTTGTTTCATCTCTAATCCAAACAATACTGCTGATTATTAACTGAGTTAGGGTCAAGATTTTTTCCTGAAATATGAACTCTTAAAGAACTTGGAACTATCAGACCTGTGTTAGAAAGCTGAAAAAATATTTTAAAAATATCCATTTCATCAGTGGATATGCTTTGATGTCCAGCAATTATTCATAAACAGGGCTGTTCTCTTACAGTGTATGTAAGTGTGTATCTCTTACAGTGTGTGAAAATATGCATCTTCAAGTCAATGTTGTCTCCTGGTGACTCCCAGGAAAAACTTCCTGCAGTTTTCTTGGCAAGATTTCAGAAGTGCTATTGCCTTCTCCCAAAAGCAGGGGTGTCAAACTCAAGGCCCATGGGCCAAATCAGGCCTGTGTGGGGTACTTAAATCTGGCTCAGGGGGCCGGCCTGGAACTATTAAGGGACCATTCTGTGGTGCCTCCAGTGGCTGAAATGGGCTGCATGTAGCCCCCCACACTTCATTTTCTCCTTCCATCGCCTCCTGCAGCATTCTTCTCACCAAAAATAGGCTAAAAAATGAGCATAAAACAGGCTATAAATGGACCAAAAATGGACTCAAAAATGGGCCTATAACAGGCCAAAAATGAGCCCATAACAGGCCAAAAAAACCCTAAAAATTGGCCCAAAATGGTCCATGTGGCCTGTTTTTGGCTGGCAGGGTGCTGCATGAGGCCATAGAGGGTGAAAATGAGGCACAGGGGCCACGCACGGACCCCTCCATGCCCCGTTTTGGCTGGCAGGGTGCTGCAGGACACATCTGTCCTGCCCCACCCACCACCCACTGCCGGTCCACAGAGGAAAACTACAATGCTGATCCAGCCCTCAAAGAAATCCATTTTGACACACCTTCGCTGAAGCTAATAGTGTCCAGCCCATCATCACCCAGTTGGCTTTGTGTCAATAAACCAAGATTAGAATTAATGATCTTCTGGTTTATAGGTACCTGTGGAACATATATCTCTTCGTCCACTCCTTCATTGTACCAAATTTCTTTTTTGCACTGCCTTTTCCTAGATACTTCCTCACAAGTTTGTATTGTAACCATTATAAGTCATTTGACATATTGGGAGACCAATCAGTCGAACAAAATAGAGCTGGAAGGGACTTTGGAGGTCTTCTCATTTAACCACCTGCCCAAGCAGGAGACCCTATATCATTTCAGATAGGTTGACTGGCACACACAAGGTTTTCATAAGTCAATAACTAGATGAAGAAAAAATACCTTTAAAATAATGTTCAAGAATTGGTGAATTTTCCTACTCTTACTGGGGACTAGCCAATATTTGGTTGATCTTTGTCTCAGAAGACTAAATCAAGCTCTCCAGTTCTGACTCAAAATGTATTAGAATTGACTTTTTACTGTGGTCTTGAAACCATTGATTGCCCTTCTTATTTTCTGTAGGACAATAACCCATGCAAGTTTCAATTATTAATGATTTTAATGCTTTATCTTAATGTTGCTTCTGCTTTTAATTCTATTGCATATTAATACACCTTTGGAAGTACAACTTGAGTGTTTATGTAAACTGAAAAAGTGAATAGAAATTCAGTAAAAAATAAATATCACACCAATTATATATCAATAATTTTACTGAGGTAAAATTAATATTAAATATATTAAAAGGTTATGTTACATTATTAATAATTTTTAAATGATTGCATCATTTTCAGAAGTAGCCATAAAACACAACTTTATCTTGATATCTACATAAACATAATTAAGAATGCTATTATGTAAACATTTTGTCTCAGCTATCTTTTGAGCTCTAATAGTAATGGGAAAAATCCTTATATATGTATCTTAATTTTTATACTCCCACAAGTGCATCAAACATATATTCAAGAGCTTTATTGTTTACTTTCTTTAAAGTGATTTATCAAGACCATTAATGGTTTGAATAAAACCATTATTTTTATTCTCTTGGATATACTATATTCAAATTAGCATACATTGTATTACAATGACGATAATTGGCTGTAAAATTAGGAAATAGATATGCAAGAAAAAATAAGTTTTAGAGTGCCTACAAATCCTTCAAAAGTGTCATTTTCTCCTTAAATATAGACTCATTCTGCATTACCATTAAAACATATTTCCAACTGATAGCAGGCAATGTTAAGGAAGATGAATAAATTACACGAATGGTCATAAATGGCAATTTAAAGGATTTAAGTTTGGCTAGATAATGGTCTCAGCTTTTTAAATGAATTGGTAAGTACAATGCTTAATAAATATATTTTCTCTTTGTTCTAGGCACAATCAAATCAATATTCAGCCACCCCAGACCCCAGCTCCCCCATTAGGATATGTTTCTGGAACATTGATATCAGATTTTGAAGCAGACATTCCAGAGGATGAAGATGAGGATGATATTGAAGAAGAGGCAATAGAAATCACAAGGCCATTACGAGATCTAGAGCATACTTTAGGCTGCAGCATGGACAATCTTGACAGCTCTGTGACAGGTAGGAAAAGAACACCGATAAGCCCTATTTGTGAATGCAGAAAAAATGTTATAAATAACAAACTGTGAGTTACAAAATCAAAAACAAGCAAAAAAAATAAACCAAGGAAACTCAATCTGAATTGATAATAAAATTATCATGGTAGAAATGGACAACGTTCAATTTATATATGAATTTCATAACCTTAGAAGGGTTCAGACCTAGAGTAGCAATTTTTGCCTTTGGAAGCCCAAGCATGCATAATTCACATATATGATTAAAGTTACTTTTGATGTGTTTAGTTATTTAATGTTTGCAACCACTCTGCTTTCCAAACTATTTAAGTACAAAGATTTCAAAACTAAATCCACTTTAAATCAAATCCAAGGCCTTTATCTGAAAGAGTGATTTCTTGGTGTACCTATATGCTAAGTGTTTTGCCTCAATTTTCTTAGAACTTCTGGCGTAATTTTTAAACAAAAATTATCTATATTTCTCCATATACCCCAAGTTAGCAATAGATCGTATACCAAAACACCATCTTTTTTAATGACTGCTTGCTAACTTTATCATTATCTAGTGTATGTAATTGATCTTCATATTTATAATGAAGTTTTAAGTTTTAGGTTTTAGAACAAAGAACATTAATATGTGTTGACCAGAGGTGGTATTCAACAGGCTCTGACCAGTTCTGGAGAACCGGTAGCAGAAATTTTGAATAGTTCGGAGAACTAGCAAATACTACCTCTAACTGGAGAGGTACTCTAAAACTTATTTACAGTATCCTTCCCCTGCCACACCCACAGAACCGATAGTAAAACAAAATTGAAGCCCACCACTGCTGCTAACCCTAACCCTAAATCATAGGGCAACAATATTGTTGGTGCCTACTTAGCCCGACATGTGGAACAAAATTTCTAAATTAAAATATCCATATGAATGGTAAATGCATATTAAAGTACTTATTTCCAGAATTTTTTTTATGAAACCAAGTGAATCAAATATGTATGGGTCTGTTAGTTATAGATGAAAACATGAATCTCATAAGTATGAGATTTTTCATTTGTAATGAAAAATAAATTGAAACCATTTAACCTCTTTTTTTTTTCGGAATTTTAGTTTTTTCCATCTGTATCATCCTTTATTTTTTCTTATTGCTGAAAATCACAAAACGTTCTCAGATTTATTCAAGCTGTTAGCATGCATTTAGAAAATTAAGTAGTTGTTCAAATTTGCAGAGCAATAAAACACTAGGATAAAATGGCATCTTCCTGTGTTTCCATTACAGTTTTAAGTACTAAAATTAATTTATGATCAGTCATCAATTCATTTACATGCTATTTAATGCTAAATCCGCCCTTGCAGATGAATCTGTATTCTTATATCCATTAGCTTGAGTATAATTCAGTTTTATAATATGATCTCTTAATTACTACTTCACTTTAATGAGATTTAAAAAATTATCATTTAGGTTCTTTGTTTTGGAGCACACTCAGGAGCAACGAGCATCTTATTTCTACCAATTACATAGAACTTTATAGAAAATAAATGTAAAAAAATAACAATTAAAATACTTATTTATCTAAACATTTCCATATTATGATTCTAATAACTTAATGGAAGTAATTATGATATCACGGTTACTTGGCAGGGACTCAAAAATGATAGAGCTATCAGAAACACAAATATTGCATTACCAAGTTCACTGGATAATTGTTTATTTATTTAAATGATTTATATGGCTACAAATGACAACTTTGAGTAGCTAACCTAGGATTAAAAACATAGAAGAAGCCAACAAAGAGAAAAACAGGAAAGTACCACATAGCTCAGGTCAAGTCATGATGGCCATTAAACAAACAAACAGGTTTTCAAAGCCTTATAAAAAGTGAAGCAAGATCAGAGTCATCCATACCTTGGAATGTAAGCTGTTCTAAACAATAGTATACAGAACCGGGAAGATGATTTTGACACATATATTCAAGAAACATTACTGAGGCGAAAGAAGATGAAAGTATTTTAAAGTAAATCCATAACAACAAAATAAGATTCAGAAGTGGCTCAGGGAGATGCAGTGAATTATAAGAGGAAGGAGGTATGGCACATGCATATTATTATGCTATATGAAATTTCAATGAAAGTAGTATTAGCCTCCCTGTGGAATTGATTTCCTAGTGTGGCCCATCAAGTCAGATTTTGTCTATGGTAAGGACTGCAACAGAGAAAAATTTTGTGATTGATGGCAGAAAGTGATAAATCTGCTTATTGATTGGTTGGTTGGTTGGTTGGTTTTATAGGGCTGCCCAATTCAAACAATGGGCAGAGTACAACCAAGTCAAACAATGAACATAAAAAAGCAAAAAGAAATCACACATTAAAAAAACATGTAAAATATCAACCAAATTTAAAATTTAAAGAACCAAAAGGGGATCCCATTCAATTGGACTTGTATGGAGAGCTGAGGAGGATGGAAGATATGTTAACAGTTTTTGTAAAGAGAAACCAAGTTGGTCTCTGTCATATATCAAGGAGTGAATATTTCAGATCACAGGAACATACACTAAATATATGATTCCCGAGTCCCATGAGATTCAAATTTTAAAAGGGGAACGTGGACTATATTTAATATAGCAAGTTCTCATTTACTAACTTACTGTTCAGCAACCATTTGAAGTTATGAGGATGCTAAAAAAAATTATTGACCAATGACTGATCATCATTACAGTTGGGATGCTTTGTCCTGTGGGTGATCTGTTGTTTTGCCCAACAGCCTTGCAGTGCAGAGTGATTGGAAAGGAAGGTATTATACAGGAGGAAGCAGGAACATAATGAGGAATACACCAGGATGCTTGCATGGCATGTTCATGGCTGCTGGCAAAATGCATTGCTTTCAGTGTTTATTCCTCATTGTGTGCCTGCCTATAAAGTATCGATATCATTACAGAGATATAATGCATAATGCATAATAATTGTTTTTCCTATTTTGGGGGTCCAAACTGTCCAGATCAGCTTATGTTCAGTTAATAATTCCAGCAATATATCATATCACAGGTATGATCTAGGTATTGATGGCTTTGATGGTATTTCCACCATACACTTTTATCTTTAGAAGTTTTCTGACACTTTCTTTATTCTTTATTAATCACATTTTTAAATTGTCCCTGTTTGAAATCCAACTGTAAAATGACCAGAAGCTTGCAGGCTTTGTCCTGATGATTCCCTTATGTACTCCCATAAGGACAGTTCAGCATTTCAATTCCATTATTGTTCTTGATTTTATCCCAATTAATTGCTACTATAGCACATTTTCTATTTTCCATTGCTGTATCTGTGCTAAAAATTAATATATTTGTCAATGCTGGATGTCGATTTCTGATTTCCCATAAAGCTTCAGATCATCCATATAAAGGAAATGTAAATTTTTATTAGCATTTGTTCTTCGATAGGCAAAAAAAATTTTCTTCAAAATCACTGAAAATGGGATCATTGCAATGATAAATAAGAAGTGATAATGAGTCAGCCTGGAAAATGCCTCTCCTAATGTTGACAACTCCATATTTTTCATTTCCAATAATAAATTCTATCTTTGATGGTTTCATTATTTTTTCTATAAACATTCTAAAGTTTTTACTGATACCAATTGTTTCCAAACTTTTGATGATCCAACTTTGTGGTAATGAATCAAATAGCTTTTTATAATCAGTCCAGATGTATGTCAATTGGATTTTCCAAACCATTTTGTAAAATCAGAAGTTGACCTTTTGTACTTCCACTTTTTCTTTTATTTCCTTTCTGTTCTACTAGATTGATGTTGTTTTCTTCCAAATACCTTTGAGTAATTTGAGCATTGTAGGCAAGCATTCTATTGGCATTATTAATATGTATGGTTCATCACCCAGTTAGCTGGATGCAGCACAAAAGTTTGAAACTTTCTCAGAAAATAAAATGCTGCCCTTGTTACTTTTCTGGTAGTTCCTCCTATAAAACAACATATGAAAATATTTTAAGAATGTTTTTTTTTTTAAATTTTAGGCAAACCACATTCCACTTCTCAGAAACTTCGCCCAACCAGCCCATTTTCTACTGACAGCAATACTAGTATAATCCAGAATCAGAGTCAAAGGCCTAGGCCTAACCCTACCAAAAAACAGCCATCCTTACCTTATCGTAGAGAAGGCATGGCAGATGGTAAGTTCCCTGGTTTAAAACTACTTCAGTGGAATTATGACTGGGCTTGGTATATAAAAATTGTTCTACTGCAAACTTAAGAACAATATTTACACTTGAGGGAGAACTGTTATTTATTCATGCATACATTTAAAACTTAAGGACATTGCACAACTAAGTTTTAAGTCAACTGTTTATTTTATATTGTGTTTTTTTCTATCACACAAATACAGTAAATATATTCTCTGTGTTTTAGATCTGCCCATATAAAGCTTACTTGGTCAATGAAAGCTCAATATTCTCTTTAATTCTATACATTTAGAGATGATATAATATTCTCCAGTTTTTGCAAGGTGTTTGCCTTTTTAAAAACCATGTACTATAATTGTGCATGTATATGAAATCGTGCATGTATAATTGTGCATGTATATTGGCCACTTATCATTTTACATTAAGGCTTGCATGCATTTTTCAGAAATTTAAGAGGTATTTGGTGCATTTGTTGTTAGTTGCAAAGTCGTATCCAATCCATCGCAACCCCATGGACGACGTCCTCTAGGCTTTCCTCTCCTCTACCATCTTCTGGAGTTCATTTAAGCTCATGCCTACTGCTTCAGTGACTCCATCCAGCCACCTCATTCTGTAATACCCTTCTTCTATTGTCCTCAATCTTTCCCAGCATTAAGTTCAGGGGTGGGTTTCTACTGGTTCTGTCCACCTCTGTAGAACCAGTTGCTCCTAAGAGCAGCAGACATAGAACTGTTTCTATGTATGCTGCTGTTGTGGCCCACCCACCCACCCTTACCTTACCTTTATTTCCTGCTTTTTCAACTGCAGGTGGGTTGTGTGACACAGCTTCACTTGAAGAAGCAGGAAAAAAGTGCTTTTCCAACTGCTGCTCACTAAGCTGTCTGGGCAGCTTAGCAGGTTGTAAATTGCTCTCGTGTGACTCGCGCATGCGCTCATGATGCTAATAGACAGAACTGGTAGTTATGCCAGTCAGATCCCATCCCTGATTAGGCTCTTCTCCAGTGAATCCTTCCTTCTCATTAGGTGGCCAAAGTATTTGAGTTTCATCTTCAGCATCTAGCCTTCTAAAGAGCAGTCAGGGTTGATCTTCTCTAGGACTGACCAGTTTAATCGCCTTGCCAGTCCAAGGGACTTGCATAAGTCTTCTCCAGCACCATAGTTCAAAGTTTTACTGCATAATTACCAGCATTCTACAACATATTCTTTCCTTGGGTGCAGCTAAAACTTGCAAAGCCTCACAGACACACTTCTCTGCATTTCAGCAAGTTATCCTAATCCTTTTAATACTAAATTATTGATTAAACTTAATATGATTGCTTTTATATCCATTTTTCATTATCCTATCATAGATATATGTGGAAAAAAGTTTCAATATTTTTTATTTGTCTTGACACATGTAATGGTAGAGGCTTATCTTAGAGCAAATAGGTATAATTCTGGCTTTGTCCAACATTACATCTGAGAACATTACTATAAAATTTCCATCTTACGGGTTTATTTGTTTTTGTTTTTTAAAATTAAAAGACTCCTTTGGGATATTGGATCCTCTTGAGTGTGTGGATAGCTTGGCAACAATTACAGAGATGGTCCTCCACTAGTTTCTTCTGGGATTTCTTTTTGGGAGTGGGGAGAAGAATTGTCCCTCCAGCCTGCAGTCCTGAGATTTCTTGGAGGTCAGAAGCAAATGTCCAAATATGACTTTGCTTAGTTTTATCAAAATCAGCTAACACTAAGTAGGTGCTTTTATAGGTTTTGCAAATGTGTAATAAGAAACATAGATTATCTAAGCCAACTAAAATTGTTTTCCTAATGAAAAAAGTCACCTGACTAAAATATCTAAAGTTTAATCATTTTAATAGACAATATTAATAAACCCCTTCATTTTTTGTTATATAGTTTAAAACGTTTCTCTGAATTCTATAAAACTATTTACATTTTTTAGATCTTCCACCACCACCTGACCCACCTCCTGGTCAGGGAATAAGGCAACAGATAGGTACAGGCCAACGTGGGGGTTCAACAGAAAGAAAAGGAAGCTCTTTAGAGCGACAGCATCCAACCAACATAGATGAAACAAAGAGTTCTTTGGATCGTCAAGCTAGAACATCACTAGAGTGGCAACGGCAAACGCAGGATTGGCTAACCTCCACAGAACTTCAAGGCCAGCAAAAGCAAGCCTTTGGATCAGGTGTGTAATTGTACATCTCAGAGTAGCTTAGGCAATTCCCTAAACCTGTTATAATGTACTATTAATCTGCTTACAAATGGTGAAGGTCAAGGCTTACATAGCAATAAAGGAGGTCAATTAGATTTAACATCCATTGTTATTTATTCTTGCAATTGTGAAGCATTGAATGCTAACTGCTAACATTCTGATTGCATGCTTTCTTTTAGGAATTAATGCTATTATTCTATACACATGAAGCATTTATCTTTGAAGCATATATTTGTTGTGTCTTTTAAGCCACTGATGTAGAATTTTTGCATGCTTAGTGCACTAAATACTCTTATGTTCATCAGCAAACATTGATTCATATATAATTCATGTAATTCAAAACAGATTTCAGTTACGAACTATGAACTAAATATTTAAATATTGCTTTACCAGCAGGTTGTTTGTTTTCTTCTGGAATTAATAAAATTTAAATGTATTAATCTTGATGGAATTTTACTTCTAGGTGATATATTTTCCCAAATAATTTTATTAAGGATTATATTAAATTTATAAATCTAATATAAGAACCTAACACAAAAATAGATTACAAAAGAAACAGAAATATTTAAGTTTACAAAAAGAATCAACTACCAAGAAAGAAGTAGTAATAAAAAGAAATTTCCACTTTCATCCCTAGCAAGTATATTCATCATTAACACCTTATAATTGTTTTTAAAAATACAACCAAATGCATCCTCATCCTACAACTCATCCTATTTTCTATAAATTCATCTCTAAATCTTCACCATTCCTTACTAATCAGCAAGCATCCAGAAAAAAATTGAAAGAAAACCTAAGAACATAATTATATAGTACTCCTTTCCATTTAATCAAAATACCCTTTATCTTCCTCTTTACTAATCAAATTATAATCCAAATTAACATACATTTCAAAAATTAAGAAACATATCAAAATACATATCAAAAATAATAACATTCATTCAAGATAACTGTTGAGCATCACCAGAGGTTTCCTTGCTCCAGCCATCCTCAAATCTTGGTGAAGTTCTAGCTCCTATTTTTTCAGCTCTTTTTATTTCTCATAAATGAAGCGAAATATGTATGTCCTAGAATAATGTTGCAGGATCCAATTTTGGTTGGTCACCAGGACCAGAGGTTTTGTCTTCTGAGCTTTCGGACTAGTGCTGGAGCCCGTCCTCTGGGAACTTCTCCCTAGCAGTTTTTATTTCTTCTCTTGGAAATCTTGTCATCTTTATCCAAGTCCATCTAATTTCCTTATAATAATTCCAGTGCATCTGTTATATTCCAATTTTAAAAGATAATCCAAGGAATGGAATGGAATGGAATAGAATAGAATAGAATGGAATGGAATGGAATAACAATAGAATAGAATAGAATAGAATAGAATAGAATAGAATAGAATAGAATAGAATAGAATAGAATAGAATAGAATAGAATAGAAGCTTGGAGATCTTCTAGTCCAGCCACCTGCTCAAGCAGGAGAACCTATACCATTTCAGATAAGTGACTGTCTAGTCTCTTCTTAAAAATATGCAGTGATGGAATATCCACAATTTCTGAAGGCAAGGTGTTCCACTGATTAATTGTCCTCACTGTTAGGAAGTTTCTCTTTAATTCCAGGTTGCTTCTCTCTTGGATTAGTTTCCAACCTTTGTTTCTTGCCCTCTGATGCTTTATAGAATAATTTGAGCCCCTTTTTGATACATTTTATATGTCCTTAATGTTTAAATGATCATTCAGTTCCATTGGTAAATCAAGTATATCCATCTATTTCTTATAATTTTTAAGTACACCTTAAATTCCATTTTTGTTACCTTTAAGGGTTTCTATTTAATATCTGCTTTCTGTTTCAGTGTAGAATGAAAAAGTCATGCATTTCTTGAATCCAAGAATCAAATATTTGTTTTAAACGTTATAACACACACAGAGAGAGAGAGAGAGAGAGAGAGAGATCTTAAAAAGCTGGAAACACATGGTTTTCTTTCTTTTTAAACAAATTGAAGATTCACAAAGTGACTGATAAATTTGCTGTTCCAAAGATTTTTAAATCTTAAAGGAACAATAAAATAAAGTCTGAAGTGATTAAAAATATGGTGTTTGGTCAAAGCTTAAGTCCAGGAAAGGCTGCATTTATGGCTCAGAGCACAATAGAATCCATGAGTCCCAGCTGATTGCAATCAGCTGCAAAAACATCAGTTCCTGACATCTACACATAAAAACAGGTCTCCAAAATACGAATGGTTAATCACAACATGTTCCAAAAAAATTTCAGGAATCTAGATCTAATATCCACCAGTATTTTAGGCTATAATGTCTCCTTGCACTCTGCAGATCAGAGAAAAATGTTGGGCATTGGTTAACTGTTCCTCACCAGAAGACTGGAATTTTATTCTTACATTTTAACAGATTTTATAGACCTATACTAAGAAACATTGAATGTGATCTTATAACAGAGTTCAATATTAAAGCATAGGGAAGTTTATTGGTAACATTTTAGATTTTGTTTATAAGTCAATCAAATAATTTCCCAAGTACTAAATATATTTGGAAATAATTCCAAGTAGGTAATTAAATATGCTGATTGTACAGTTCTTTATCTTAATTTAAAATTTATCATAATTATAGTGATGAAGAAAAGCATTTTTCGTACACTGAGCAACAATAGTTATGCGGTAATCAACTATTATCTCAGCCTACAAATTGTGTATTTTTTGTATTTATTTAAGCCTAAGGCACCATGTTTTGTTTTCATTATGAGCAGTTTAAGTTTAGAATGAATATATGACTGTTTCTTTGAGCAAAATGTAACACCTGATTACTGCCTGAACTAATTTTTCCAATTTCCTTGGCAAGATTTTTTTCAGAAGATGAGTTGCAATCTTCTGGAGGCAAATAGTCCAAGGTCACCCAGCTGGCTTTGAACCTGACAGATCTAGAACTCATAGTCTGGGTCTCCATATTTCTAGGCTGGTGCCTTAACTAATACGCTAAACAGGCTTATTTTGAGCAAAAGGGATGCATATATTTCTCTTTCCACACACTTATTTATATTAAAATATCAGGCAAGTATATTAAATTCATCTATACATTTAGCTATTTTGAATGAAATATATATAAAAATTTCCAATTCCCAAAACTTAGTAGTTACTCAAATTTTTGAAATTGAATGTAAGATTTTATATACATAGGTAAGTCTATTGATTCCTAATGCACAAGCCAATTTCAAAATTTATATGTGTGAATCACACTATAGCCAAATTCTTTTCATTATGTTTCAGAAGAGACATTGGTGCCATATAGCAAGCCTAGCTTCCCATCCCCAGGTGGTCACAGCTCTTCAGGTACAGCATCTTTTAAAGGAACAACTGGACCCAAAAAAACAGATGTCATGAAAGGAGGTCATCAGCGCAACATGAGCGACCTCATTGATGTAGGATATATTGGATTAAACAGTCAAGGACAGTTTCCTGATGAATTATGTAAGATTATTTTGCAATCAAGCAAATAAAAATGTTTAAAATTAGAACAGAAGGAAAATGTTTACTTTTCTGTGTTAGTGGATAGTCATGGGAAAACTATAGTTAACAACATATTAATCTATAATATTCTGTAACATGTTTTATATGTTTAATTAAATCTCAATATTATGAATGTAAACATATACACAGTATTTTCTTTCTGAATATTAGTATAAATAGTAATGTGCCATATTTCTCATATGTGAGTGTTCTTGATTAGTTTTCTTGGGTTTGTAGGGCACAAAGACAATGTTTCATAATACTATATTATAGCCTGGTTGTTAAATAAGCAAGAAACAAACCAGTATATAGGAAAAATGAAAGCAATCAATACAAGTTAACTTTCTATTACTTTATAACAGATAACCAAGGACCATAACAGCTTCCACTAGTGTTGTGACTTTTAGTACAGGAACCTTCCTCTATATAACGTAATTGCTTAGATTCTTAGATTCAAACTTATAGATCTTTTTTATTAGTAAAAATTATTGAAAATAAAGTGATAGCTTAATTGATACACTTAGTTTTTTACTTCTAAATCTCTTTTTATTCCATATAGTTTTGCTATGTTTAATATAATTTTAATATAATTTAATATTAATATAAAAAGCAATTATTTATTTCCTGGTATTATTACATATCTACATTATAAACACATAATATGCATGACAGAGAAGGTGGTCATCTAGAAAGGAAGAACAAAACACTTTTTCACTATCCATTTAGAAGTTCTCAATTTTATTTAATTTAATCATTTTATATAAGTATTTAACATTTCTGAACAGTAAACTTTTAACTACAGTAGAAGACTAGTGTTTACACCATATAATTTATATTTCATGGTAAAGGGTTATACACGGACAAAACAATCTAAAGATACGGGAGTAATCTGCTCCCTGTGTTTGCTCTTTCCCTTATTTTTATAAAAATGGAATGGTTATATAGGCTGTATAAATGAATAAACTTAAAAACTATGGATATCTACCAAAATGTAAACTTTTGATAGTATTACAATATACTTAGTAACAATGAAGAAAAGCTTTAAAATATGCAAATGGGGGATGCACTTATAGTTCTGTGCAATAAAGAACAGTCTAGACAAAATTGCATTTTCCTAATTTATTGTATAGAGAAAATGTATACTGCTTGAAAGAATAACATAAAATGCCCATAATAATAAGGGGTACTTCTTTATTTTGTCCGTAAATGATTCAATTGAGTGAGCATGACCCTTTTTGAAAATTAGAGTGACAATGTAAAAAATGTCTTTTTCGGCCCTACATATAAGAACCTTAATATTTTGGAGATGAATTTCCAGTTGCTCCCTTATAGGATATTTTCTGTCGTATTATAAAACTTTGAACTTTATAAAATAACACTTGAAATCTGAAGTAATGTAGCTCGGATATATATTACATGTAAATTTTATTTACAATTGGGTCATGATTATTTCGTTATAGAAAAAATTAGGTCGATTTATTTTCCTCAGTTTAAATTCTATTTTAATAATAGTTTTGCTCTACTTCTATTCCACCTTTTTCCAGAAATTAGACTGTCCAAAGTTTTTATTCTTATTAAATTGCAATTACTGCTTCCAATATTAATTTCAAGTATCAAAATATTGTAATATTTTTAATTCAAATGCACTAAGTTTATAATGTTATTTTAATCTATATTTTTGATCCATATATGCTTAAATCATAAAACAAATGCATATATCTTTAAATTAAAGCATCTTAAAACATTATCTTGTTCTTTTTTTTTGTTTGTTTGTTTAACAGAGTAGTTGAAAAGAAACATCTTCAGCTGCTTTCAAGGCCATCAAGTCTCAACTCATGGAAGTGATGACACTAAACAGTGCAATGAACATTTTCTTTATTTATGTACTTACTATTAAAGGAACTGTAAATGCAATGTAAAGAAACACAGCCACACATATCCCGCAGATATTCTACTCATGTTCTTCTTTTACACCTTTCACTTTAAACTCTTTCTTATTAAGCATATATACTGGGGGGAAAATCACCCTGCAGGATGAAATAAATTTCCTTTGTACATAATTTCTTTTTATTGCATTGCTATGCAAACTCACCTTCATTTTGCTATGTTCATATTATTGTCTGTCCTTCTTGGTCTGTTGTACTATATGTGAATTTATAGGCTGTGGTGCCATATAATAACTTTTAATTGTGTAACATTTTATGTTTGAAGTTTGCACTGCAATTTTTTGTTGGTGATAAGCACAAAACTTTTATGCCTCGTGTCATGAAGAAGAAGAAGAAGATTGAATGTGAAAGGAGTCTATGTACTGTAAGCTATGTTGGATAATGCTGGATGTAATGAATTATGTTAGGTGGTTTTCCATTTGGGTGTAGAATTAGGAAGATGACTGGCAAAACTGATGTTAGCAAGAGTTGATTGGGACATCAGGAATGGAATACCATCTGAAATAGTAAACAATGTTGCTTTTATCGTTTAAAGAAAAAGGTCAAATGATGGAAGTATCAGTTTCAAGATCAGATTAGAACATGAAAGCCTCCTATCTTCTTAGTATCACTTTTTCATTTATTCAGTACAGTTGCACTCACTACAAAGGAAGGAAGTTAAGATGTTTCACTAAAGCTGTTTTTATGCTACTTTTTATTTTAGAAAAGAGTATTATAATTAATTTGCTCTTCCATCTGAAGGTTATGAACCATATGAAGGTAGAGAAATACTTAGCAAGACTTAAAGATGCAATTATCATTGAGATATCCAAGCTGCTTCCAAAAATCTACAGTATTCATCTTTTCAATACGTGCAGTAAAGATGAAGATGTAGAGCTATGTCACTTGAAATCCATGATCTAATTTTTCTTATGCAACTAACACATAGTTTTTCTGTATTATTATCTGAAGCTGTAAGACATTGAAACCCAATTCATTTGTATTTAAATCTTGGGTTACAGTAATTGAAAAGAAAGATATGGCATATTCATGCTCAGTTTTAAATCAAGGTGTTTCTTTTTATGAATTCACTACATTACAGGAAACTGGTTTCAACAAGGAAAAGAAGACATCTTTGACCTATTTTTGATGATTAAATTTCAAGCCTCTTCTTACAAAAACAATGCATGTTTATACACTTTTTAAATAAACCAAACTTGCTGTAAGTGGACATTAACAAAAGCATCCTGTCTCATCATTAATTTTCATGACTTTCTCCAGCTACTTGCCAATTTTTCACATCTTTGTTAGAAATATTATACATGTATTCCAATGCATTAAATATTTTATTTGACGTTTACATCAAAAAGCTTATCTTATTCATTCATATCATTATTACAAACATTCATATACACAGTTTCTATTTATACTTTGCCTTGATGATCATATTACTATTAAGCAAAACACTTCTTGATCAAGCAAAGAAATATGCATTCTTTTTCATTACTTTAAGAATGTGATAAACTAAAATATTTTTAGTATAAATTGTAAATCAATATTGCAATTATTTCTTTTTATTTTAATTTAGTGCAGAGTATTGGCAAATGAGAAACAAAGAAAGATGCATTGATTCAAATTACATGGAACTTAGGTAAAATTTTTGGTAATCAAAATGTTGGACATAGCTAAGGCCATTATTCTATCTAGACATAGAACATTCATAAATATAAAAAAACATTTTTCTATTCTGAATTGTGTATATTAAAAATGAATATATATATGCTAATATAAGTAGAATGGATACAAAAAATTCTTCATAAAGTTTCATATAATGATACAAAAAAGGCTGCTTTGAAGGAGAAAAGAACTCATTCTACTCACAGCCTACCAAAAATCATGATACAGCTATGTCTAGTTTGAAGCAATTTTTATGTATCTGTAGGCAAGGACTTTTCAATTAAAGATTTCACAGCACCAATCAGTTTAAAAGTAACAAACGATAATGAATTTCTATCATATATCACCTTAATTTGTATGCATTCCTTTCTTACTATGAAATACTTGGAATTGTGATGTCCTGATGTAGCTAGGATATGGGACACAAGTACATTGCACAAAAATATGTAGCTACCAAAAGTCTTTTGCAAGATTTGACATAACCCATGTATTCAAATGTCAAGCAATCTTTGCCAATATTATCTGTGAAACCCTACTTGTTAATACTTAGGCACCAAATCTCATGAGAAAGTCACATTGCCAACAAGGTTTTTCCCCTTAACCTCAACTTGAGAGATTTCTATGAACTAAACATGCTTCAAGTTACAATCAGAATATATTTGCCTTGATTCTTGTTGCAACATATAGTTTTATAACTGAAAACTTGTGTAACTTTTTTTTTAATTCACAGAGTGACTACAACTAACATCTAGGAAAAAATAGGTATGTATCAGATTACAGGAAAATCTGATTTGTAGAAATTGAGAATGCATATTGGTGCATAACTGTTTACAAAACAAGTGTGTATTTTGGACAGATCTGGCACTGCACATTTAAAATCCTATTCCAAAAGAAAATATAAACCAGGATTTAAATAAACATCTAACGTTCACACTTTATTATGGATTGGATTTAAATTTCATTTACATATTACAGTAGAATTGTAGCCATTTCGATACTTAGATCCATGGTATTAACATTAGTATTTATCCTTTCTGTCCTGTTTGAAGTTAATAATTCCATGGCTATCATGCACATTCATGCCAATCTTATTAGGTAGTATGCTAACAGTACTAAATATGCTGAAACATATTCCTCTTGCTAAATTGAATGAGCTACGAAAATGGCTTCAACCATACATTTCCAAGTACTGTAAAAAAAACAGTCTTAATGGCTTATCCGAAGTGCAATATGTAAATGATAGAGTCTTCAGAAATCTATTCAAGATAATGTGATATTTCACAAGTTTTCAGGATGCAACATAAATTTAAAGAATATAACAATATTTGATATTGTTGTTCGATAGCTCACTGTTTATGCCTTGAGTTTTATACAGTATGATCTTCCTAAGTATTTTTATTGGTTTTAGAAATATGCGTTGAGCTTTGGTGGAACACCTTATTGGCCAATTTTTCTTCACAATACAATGTGAATAAAAGTAGCCATCCCACACTCTTTAGTTAAATGTCTTGATTTTTTGAGTTCCAATTTTGTATCAGTAAAAAATAATCGGTTAAAAATATGTAGTGCTATAATATCAGTTTATTATTCACTACTATAGAATTATCTTTACATTATTCATTATGCTTTTAAACAGATTTAATGTTTAACAGATGCTATTATTTTATCTCTTCTTTCTCTCCCTATTTCTCATTATGTGGTGTACTTCAAATAATCACAGAACCTATTTTTTAAAATGTGCAATTTGCCTTTTTTCTTTTTTTATAATTGAAGGAAACTTTTTTATAATTGAAAATATTTCTTATTCATAATGTGTCTAAAGAAAAGGAATGTGGTGGCAGCTCTTAAAACTGTTTTCTAATTTTTTTATATAAAATGATTCAGTTACAACAGTTTTTTCAGTCACATACACACAAAGAAGATGACCTCTTAATGTGTTTCATGTGTTAGTGAAGCAAAGTTTAATAGGCATAAAGTTGGTTAATCGTAATGTTAAGTGTGTATTGTATATCTACTGGGGAAAATAAACTTCCACATTTCAAAAAGAATTAAATGTTATTTAACACTCTCAATATATGATTGCATGAACATAACACTGCAATTTTATTCCTAAGATAAGATGTTCTGTTGTGTTTTTCTGTATCCCTAAAGTACCATTTCATAGCTATTCCATGGAAAGCAAGACTGAAATTTGCACCTATGAAAAATCTTCCTAGCAAACACTATAAATATGTCAGGAAAGCTGTTCTATCATCCTTCACTGCTCCTACTACAAAGGTACCTGATAAATTTTAGACAGTGAAAATCATTTTCCTTAATTCAGTTGTCTGACTTGGAACTGAAAAGGTTTGAGGCTCTTGAATGCCACTGTAGACCAGTCATGCATCGTCAGAAAAAAACATACTTGTGTCTAACTTTGCCCCCAAACTCATTTCTTTAAATATGCAATGGGCTTTTACCATTAAAGAAAACATTTACAATCTCTCTCTCTCCCTCTCCCTCTCCCTCTCCCTCTCCCTCTCCCCATCTCTCTCCCTTCTCCTTCCCTCCCTCTCTCTCACACATTTATTTTATATTCTTGAGAGGAAGGAAGGAACGAAGGAAGGAAAAATAAATCTGAAGGAAAAAATGGAAAATAGAAAAAAAAAAGTTAAACAGAGAGGGGAAATGCAAAAAAGCTGTACAAACAAGCTGGAAACCTTGAATGGATTCTTATTCATATGACATGCATGTACTCTTCTGTTTTAGTGCATTAGTTATTAACTTTTACCTTTTATTGCGCACTAATTAGAATCACACACTGTGAAAGCACCAATACCACAGAATGGAAAAGGAGTGACAAAATAAGTAAACATAAAGGACTCAAATTTTCTCTTTTATCTGTAACTCTCATTTACTTAAGGCATTTTAAGAGAATGGATATTATATCTAGCTGGCTTAATTAACTTTTAAAAGTTCCTATAAATTGCTGGTGACATTTGTGCTAAGTACAGAACAGGGAAAATTGACTCTTGAACTGATTCTGTCTATCCATGGTTGCAGTTTTGTGGTAGTACATATACAGTATTCTCAATATTACAAACAACTTTATCAATGCAGTTGAGAATAGTTAGTTTGGGAGCAGAAGGAAAGGAATAACGCTATTCTTTAACATATATTAAATATATCCATCAAAAATAACAGGTTCTAATAACATAGTAACTGCAGTTTCTGGCAAAATTGGTAAGTGACATGGTTACTAAGTGATGGTGAGAGATATACAGACTATGAAGACTACCATGAAAATTGACAACGGATCCCATCAGCTAATGAATTTGACTGTCGGGGTCCAGGAAGAGAACTTTCTCTGCCACTGTCCCTCTCCTCTGGAATATCCTTCTTCCAGATGTGAGCCAGGACTCCACTCTCCTGACCTTTTGAAAGACTTTGAAAACCTCTCCCAATTATCATGGGTCTTACAGAATAGCATGCAACCTTTGTAATGATTAGTGCTTTGAAGCCGCTTCCCTTTCCTTTAACTTACTCTTGTTTTACCTTTGTCTTTTTATCAATGTATTGTATTTTTATATGGTTTTTATACTTTTAGAATAAAGGCTCCAGAGTCATTTTGAAAGTCAGGTGGGCTGTATCTAAACTTGATAAATAAATCTACTAAATTCAGGTGAAACTCAAAAAATTAGAATATGGTGCAAAAGTTCATTTATTTCAGTAATGCAACTTAAAAGGTGAAACTTAAAACATAGACTCATTACATGCAAAGCAAGATAGTTCAACCCATGATTTGTCATAATTGTGATGATTATGGCTTACAGCTCATGAAAACCGCAAATCCACAATCTCAGAAAATTAGAATATTACATGCAATCAATAAAACAAGGATTGTACATAGAACAATATCGGACCTCTGAAAAGTATAAGCATGCATACGTACTCAGTACTTGGTTTGGGCCCCTTTTGCAGCAATTGCTGTCTCAATGTGGCGTGGCATGGAAGCTATCAGCCTGTGGCACTGCTGAGGTATTATGGAAGACCAGGATGCTTCAATAGCGGCCTTCAGCTCTTCTGCATTGTTTGGTCTCGTGTCTCTCAACTGTCTCTTGGCAATGCCCCATAGATAATCTATGGGGTTCAGGTCAGGCGAGTTTGCTGGCCAATCAAGCACAATAATCCCATGGTCATTAACCAGGTTTTGGTGCTTTTGGCAGTGTGGGCAGGTGTCAAGTCCTGCTGGAAAATGAAGTCAGCACCCCGATAAAGCTCGTCTGGAAGGAAGCATGAAATGCTCCAAAATCTCCTGGTAGACAGCTGTGTTGACCTTGGACTTAATGAAGCACAGTGGACCAAAACCAGCAGATGACACGGCTCCCCAAATCAACACTGACTCTGGAAGCTTCACACTGGACTTCAAGCATCTTGCAGTGTGTGCCTCTCCATTCTTCCTCCAGACTCTGGGTCCTTGGTTTCCAAATGAGATGAAAAAGTTGCTCTCATCAGAAAAGAGGATTTTGGACCACTGACCAACAGACCAGGTCTGTTTTTCTTTAGCCCAAGTAAGATTCTGACATTTGTTGTTCAGGAGTGGCTTGACAAGAGAAATACAA